GGCTGGGGCTCCAGGATAGGCACTCCTTCCCTGGCCCCAACAGGTCCGCCCCAGCCATGCCACCCCAGCTGCACCTGGATCCAGGCTGCCACTGGGCCTCATCCGGCATGTATAGGTCTGGGCTGCTACGCTCACGCCACCCGAGCCGGTCCAGGCGCCCCGGCCGCAGCAGAGTTGGGGCCGGAAGAGGGGTGCCCCAGCCATGGCAGGTGGGGGCCAGGCTAGATGGGGGCTGGGCGCTCCTCCCCCAGCCATTCCCCGTGGGGTTGCCTGAGCACCTGCGCAGCACTAAACAGGCTGCTGCGTGGCAGTGCAGGGAATTAGACACAAACCCTCCTAACTACAGAATTATTCAGTAAAACTGTGTTCATACTCTAAGTCAGGGGTCTCAAACACGCGGCCCGCGGGGTTATTTTCTGGGGCCCGCCAGCTCCCTGTGCCCCCCCCCCCGCACCCCCCAGCATTTACCTAGAGCAGCTCTGGCGTGGCGTGCACCAGGGGCAGGGCAGGTTCCCTCCCTCCCTGCCTGCCCTGCCCCCGCGCCGCTCCAGGAAGCGGCCGGGACGGGGCACAGGGGTCTGTGTGTTGCCCTGGCCGCTCCTCCAGGTACCTCCCCCATCCTCCAGGTCCCAGCCTCTTCCTGGAGCGGCACGGGGGAAGGGCGGGCAGGCAGGCAGGGAACCTGCCCTGCCCCCGGTGTGCGCCGGGCCGAACCCACCCCCCGAACTCCTCCTGCAGCCGAACCCCTGCCCTGAGCCCCCTGCTGCACCCCACACCCCTCCTGCAGCCCAACTCCTTGCCGCACCCCACACCCTTCCTGCACCCCGACCCCCTTCCCTGAGCCCCCTGCCGCACCCTGCACCCCCTGGGGGCAGGGAGGAGGCAGAGTTGGGGTGGTGATTTCAAGGAAGGGGTGGGAACGGAGCAGCAGGGGGAAGGGGGTGGTCAGTGGTGCGGCCCTCAGGCCAACGTACTAGTCCTCATGTGGCCCTCATGGTCATTTGAGTTTGAGACCCCTGCTCTAAGCAGAGATTGGTTCTCTCATATTTTAATTAACACATTTCCAAGACAACGCACCAACACTGTCAGAATCTAACAATAGGCTGTCCAAACCTTGATTAGGACTTTTGGGCACAACTGTAATTTAAGCCAGTGGCTCTCAAACTTTCCAGACTACTGTACTGCTTTCAGGAGTCTGATTTGCCTTGCACACCCTCAGGTTTCACCTCACTTAAAAACGACTTGCTTACAAAATCAGACATAAGAATACGAAAGAATCACAGCACACTATTACTGAAAAATTGCTTACTTTCTCATTTTTACCACATAAAATAAAAGCTGTTTTATCTGGCACTTCACGAACCAGAAAGCTCTATAAACTGGCATTTCTGATCTTCACTGGAAGTCCAGTTTATAGTCCGGTTGGTGTGGGGCCGGCAGGGGGCTGGAGCATTGGACAGGGTGTGGAGCGCAGGCTCTAGGAGGGAGTCTGGGTGTGGGAGGGGGCTCAGGGTAAGGGTATAGTAGGTGATGCGGGGTGCCGGATTCAGGGGGAGCTCACCTAGGGCAGCTCCACGCAGTCGGCGACCTACCCTGGCTGCTCCTAGGCATAGGTGTGGCAGGCAGCTCTGCATGCTACCTCTGCCCGCAGGCGCCATCCCCACAGCTCCCATTGGTCGCGATTCCCGGCCAATGGGAGTTGCAGAGCCAGCGCTCGGGGCGGAGGCATGGCACAGAGCCTCCTGCCACGCCTCCGCCTAGGAACAGCCAGGACAGGTTGCCGCTTGTGGGAAGCCGCCTAAGGTGAATGCCCCCTGGATCCAGCACCCCAAGCCCACTCTTGCGCCCCAACCCTCTGCTCCAAGCCTGCTCCTGCACCCAAACTCCCTCCCAGAGCCCACGCTCTGCACCCCCTCTACACCCCAACCCTGCACCCCCTCTCACACCCAAACTCCCTCCCTCTTAGTTAACTGCCATTTTTCACTTACCGGCACCCCCTATTCTCCCAACATGCCAGATAAAACAGCTTTTACTGTAATTATAAAGGTTTCAGAGTAGCAGCAGTGTTAGTCTATATTCGCAAAAAGAAAAGGAGTACTTGTGGCACCGTAGAGGCTAACATTTATTTGAGCATAAGCTTTCGTGAGCTACAGCTCACTTCATTGGATACATTCAGAACTGAATGCATTCGATGAAGTAAGCTGTAGCTCACAAAAGCTTATGCTCAAATAAATCTGTTAGCCTCTAAGGTGCCACAAGTACTCCTTTTCTTTTTGTAATTATAAAATAAATCAACTGGAATATAAATATTGTACTTACACATTTCAGTGTAAAGTATATAGAGCAGTATAAAGTCATTGTCTGTATGAAATTTTAGTTTGTACTGACTTCGCTAGTGCTTTTATTAAGCCTGTTCTAAAACTAAGCAAATATCTAGATGAGTTGATATGCCCCCTGGAACACCTCTGTGTACCCCTGGTTGAGAATCACTGATTTAAGCAAAAAAATAATCAGTGGCTAAAATAGAGTTTTTGAAAAAGTAAATAATCAGTGCACTTTATCTTTAACACACCTCAAGCTTTTGTTTTTAGCCCCAGCCCTACAACTCCAGACACAGGCATGGAAATCAATGAGACTCTAAGCAGGCACAGGTGTTAACCATGATCATTCACTTGCAGCAAGTGCTCAAAATAAATAATGACCCAGTATTTCTAGAATGAACATTAAGGCCCTAAATGCTGCAATGTTACTTATATGTAGGTGGAGCCCACGCCTGCACAGAGGTCACTGCAGAATCAGAACAAAAATACAGTACTTGGGGAGGCGTACACTTGCCATATATTTAACACCACCATGCTAATTAAAGTGACATTTTAACAGTTAATAAATAATGCCTCTATCCCATATTAGAGAGCTCATTCACTGAAAACAGCAATTAACATATTACAGTACTTTTAACATGCTACGGTTTTGTTTTTATTTATTTTTGTTTTTACAAATACAGCCTCTAACAACTATAAACTTGCTACAGAAGGGCAGTTCATATTAACTTTAGTGTGGCAACATTTTAAGTACACCCAACCCTGAAAGTATTTTTAGCCAGGGCGTTCAATCAATACTGTCTTTACAGTCAGCTTAAATTAGGAATTAGAAGGTTAATACAACTTTAAAGCAATGAATATATTTTGTGGAGCTAGCTAACTGGTAAAAGAAATAAGATTTATTCTAATGTCTAAATTCATTATGAACCTAAACCACAAACAAACCAGAATCTAAGCACATAGGGAATGACACACAAGAAAGCAAAACACCAGCAGATTTATGCTTTTGAAGAAGCTTCATGGAGGTTTCAATTTCTGCAACAGCTTTAAGTAGGCTAAATAGATGACAAAAGACCAAAAGAAATCCTGAAGAAGTGCAAGGAAACTGGAAATTCAAGATCGTAAAGAGATATTTTTACACATTCTATCCTATTTTGTTATGTCTTTTTAAAAGTTCAAGTTAAGTGTTTAAAATTGATCTTCAGTATCACATCTTCCTATGTAAACAAAGTTCAATTTCTGAGATTATAAACCACAAACATTCCTAAGATTGTGTGTGTATATTTATGTGTGTGCGCCCTCTCAAAGGCTTGACCTATTAGTTTGATGGTAAAGCATAACAAATTTGAGATTTATGCTATGAAAAAAACAGGCAGTAGAAAAAATAACTTTTGAGGTCAATGAAGCAAGAAATATTGTCAAAAATAAGGTACTCACAAAATGTTTAGGCAGCAAACTGGAAAAGCTTTGGCACAATCTAAATATCTTACAAGAAAATTGTTTTACAAAATTTAATTTAAAATTACATTCATGTATTATTACAACACATTTAAGATGTATTGAGCTCACGAACATCTGGCTGTATGTGGGCACATCAGTAACTCCTTGTATTACAAAGCATTTCTTTACCAATATCAATACAGTAGTCAAAACACACACATGCAATAAACCCTCACTACCATTCATACCAGAGTTTAAGCATGAGAAATACCCGAAATAACAAAATTCAAATGCTATTGTGGCTTAACCATCAGTGTCTACCTTAAAATCATCCTCTACTGAATTTTAAAAGGCACTAAAAATCATTAGGGATACAAGCATTTTGAACTTGCTTTGTTATGTGCATTTTGTTTTAGGCTCTTTAAATCATCTATTACTCATTCTGTAGGAACAGTGGCACAAAATTTGGTCACATATATATTTACTTTTGCTTAAGCAACTGGAACACTTTATATAAACCGGCAGCTAGTTAGTTTTAACAAAAGCCTTGTTTTGAAAAAACAACAGCATTCTTCCTTTTCCAGATGGCAGTGCAATGAGTTCATGAGTTACCCATCACCAGGTACAGTAAAAGCCTCCCTTGCATATAAGATGTTCCCGATTATACAAGCTTTCTGGTTGAGGGAGACACTAAAAAAAACGTACTGTAGGAATGAAAAGAAAACACTGCACTCCAGCCTATGTTTCCTGTCCAAAGAAACACACAGGCACTCACCCATGCACCTAGGAATCATGACAATCTTATACTTCCATATTAAATCCATTCCCAATATAAGAACACCTTGTTTCAGAAATTTGATGAGTTTCCTACACTGCTGGATCCCTGGAAAACATACGCCCCAACCATCCTCATCACCCCCCCTTTCTTCTGAATGGTGCTTTTGAACCCATGGTGCGTTTGGTGGCTTTTTTTTCAGCCTTCTTCCGAAATCTTTTGGGCAGGTGGGGGGGAGGGGGGGAGCGCGGAACCACCCACGCGGGCGGGGGCTCTCAGGAGAGCTGCTTTCCATTTACAGCTCCGTATATGGGCTGATACAGGGGGGCTGCAGAGGGTGGGCTAGAGAAGGAAAACGCCTGGCCCCCTCTGCACCCTCCACTAGCGCCCGCCGCACACACGGCCGCAGCCTCTGGGTTCGCAGCCCGGCGCACCACGCACCGCAGGACGGTGGCTTCGCTCACCTTCACATAACAGCCGCGTCCTTCCAGATAAGGCGAGAGGGGCGCTGAGGCGAGACCCGCGGGCTGGGCTCGCCGCTGCCTCCCCACGACCCCCCTCGCACGCACAGGCGCGCTCGCTGCCTTCAGTCCCCCCGCAGCAGCCGCCGCACGGGCAGCAGCAGCAGCAGCAGCCGGGCCGCTCGCAGCCGCACGGACCACATCGTACTGCGGCGTCTGGGCCGAGGGAGGGGGCCGGAGAGGAGGCGGCGAACCCCCCCCCCCCGGACACTCCTCTGCGCCCCCCCCCCAAACTACAACCGCTGGGGGGCGGCACTAATACAGCGGACCCCACGGGAAGGGGCACAGGACGCCCCGTACACGCAGTGTGGGGGGGTCTGCTCCTAAGGGGGGGTGAACCGGAGGACAGGGCGGAGGCGGCAGGCGAGCGAGCGAGCTCTCTGCCGATGTGAGTGTAGCGCTGCCTGGGGAAGGGAGGGCGAACCGCAGCTTCTTTCCCTCAGGGCCTCCCTCCCTCCTCACACAGGCAGCATAGCAACTAACATGGCGGCTGCGCAGTCACCCGGCGAAAGGGGGGGAGGGGCGAGAGGAGATCTCGCGAGAACTGAAAGTGGAGCGAGCGGGTGCCCCTGGCCTGCTCGCACGCATCCCGCCTCCTGCCCATGGTCTGCTAAGGGATTGGCTGGGAAGGGCGAAAATAGTCGGCAAAACAAGGCTGGGGCGGGAACAATCCAACAACTTTGATTGGCTGAGTTAACTCTCAATCAAGCCCAGTCTGACTGACGTTGAAAACAACTGGCTCCCTGAGTTGCCAGTCCTAATAAGACCCCCCCGCCTCTTGCCTCAGAGCTTTGGCGCTCCCATGGAGCATGTTGAGAGCTTCCTGCAAAGGGGAGAGGGGCGGGTTGTGTCTGTGTCAGGAGCCGGGTGACACCTACTGGCAGATACATTTACATAGAACTTCGGTTCTACATTTTGCAGAGGCTTTTGAGAGGGGTCTCAGAGTAGCAGCCGTGTTAGTCTGTATTCGCAAAAAGAAAAGGTGGACTAGTGGTACCTTAGAGACTATCCAATTTATTTGAGCATAAGCTTGAGGGGTCTGTACTTCATTTTCCTGTTTTAATTCAAAATTCATGAAGCAGGCCCCCACCCATCCCCATAAGTTTCATAATAGTGAAAGTTTAAAATGTGAGTGCTTTTTATTCGCCTTCTGTTTGAGCCTTAAGTGCACGGTGGCCCTTTTTTCAAACTTTTCTTTGCACTATTCAAGGAACTGCATGAAACCCCCCCAGAGACACCCTCTCTGTCCCAAAGAGTTTTCAATTTAAGAACATCTTCCTTTTTCCCTTTATGCTACTTTTCCTGGTGAGAGTTGCAGCAGCAGCAGCAGCAAGGAGAGTAGGGAGGACCTGACCTTTTCCTTCGCAACAGGTTCCAGCTCCTCCTCGGGGATTCCCCAGTGTTCCCAGGCGGGCCAGGAGATATAATCCCTCCAGTGGGTCCTGGGTCAGCCTCAGGGCTTCCACCCGTTGGCACATACCCTGTAAAGTTCCAACAGAAGCCTCCCCAGGGCATCCTTATCAGGTGCCTGAACCACATCAACTGGCTCTCCTCCATCCAGAGGAGTAGCAGCTCTACTACAAGGCTCTCCCAAATAGCCAAACTCCTCACCCTATCTCAGAGAGTAAGCTCACCACCCAAAAGTGAGGGTTGGATGCGATGCCAGAATGGCAGCAGGAGGGACGGACCACGACAGACTGGCCCATCACACTGGAAAAGTTTAAGAACTTGATACTGCAAGCACATACACACTTAAAGTTAAGTATGTGAGGAGTCTCATTTAGTTCAATAAGGACTTCTGCATGAAATTAACTATGTGTAGAAGTGTTTGCAGGATTGGCACCTAAACAAAAACAGAACATATGAATGTAACAAAAACAGTAAAAGCACGTGGGATATGAGTAAGTGTCATGCAGTTACATTGAGTTCTATGCAATGTTAGTCTATGATGTCAAATAATTTAAGTGTTTTGGGTTTTTTTGTTTTTTAATTTTAAAAATTTGTTGAACCATAACTACTTCCCTAACATTCATCACCACCATCCAATCAAAAAGTAACCCTCCCCAACTAGCTCTTTACCAAGTATTAGCAGCTATCTCTTTGTATATTACATAAGATTCTACATATAGTATCTTCACAGCTACATCAGGGACTGGCACCCTTCCTTTACATAAGCCCACCTCCCTCTGGGGTACCTGCCCCACATGGAACTGGGAGGATTTCAGTGCCTGGAGAATTCACTTGCTCTCTGTGCTGTTCTTCTGGGAGCAAAGGTGGATTGTTTGTGAGGTTGTAGATTGACTTTTTAAAGTCTTGGCTATGAGAAAGGGCAACTGAGGTAATGGACAGTCCCCAGAGGCACCTTCATAGCCCTTGTCAGCAGAGATTTCAAAGTTCATGTTCTTTAACTTATCAATGGACTTTGTTACTAAAAACAAAAATCTATTAGTAATTCTGTATTTTAAACTTTAATTTTAATAATTGAAATACACAAATCAGATAAGGTTACAAAGTTTCAGATCAAGCTATTTAGTCTTGCAATGAACCATGTCTTATGCACCTAACACCACCCCAGATTAGCACAAGCTTCAGAAAAAGATTAGCTCAAAATCCTGTAACCAAATCAAGACACAACACAGTCTATGCTGTACTAATTTCTAGCTTTTGAGCATTTCCTTAGTTCCCTTTATAGACATATTCTGTTCTTTAGAAACTTCCAGTTCCTGAATTCTGCACTTTTGCAGCTACTCTCAGCCTCAAAATCTGGGCACTAGTTATCCTCTGTATACTGATAAAGGGATATTCAATTGCAGTTTGTAACTGGTTTCTATAGTGTCCTCTTTCCCAGATCATAATGAATTTCTTCACGCTCAAATTGCGCAGAATGCTTTTTAGTCTAGTTACATGTACAATATTCAAGCTTCAAAGCTAGTCTTTTAAATTGCTATGTCAATCTTTATTTTGTGTCTCAATATGCCAAGCATGATGTCAATACTTACAAATATAATAAATTATTATTTTCAACAGAGTGATAAAGAACTCATGCCCAAATCATCTGATATAACTATATACAACTTTGTCACAAAAGTAATAATAGTAAGCTACTGTAATGAGGTCAGCACCCACCTCTCACAAGCACCCCCTCTGGTTGGGTGTGTCCACACTCTTTACTCAGTCCCTGCAGCTAGCCAGGAACTCCCTCAGTGGTCTCCCAGTCCCTGCCAGCAAATTGTTTTAGGCTCAGTCCTAGCAGCCAGCCAGGAGCCTCTCACCGCCCGCCCCCCCGGTCCCAACCAGCAGACTCTCTTTGGGCCTGCTCATCTTCTAGCCAGGCACACAATCCTCTCTCATCCAGCTCCAAGCAAAAACTAACTACCTCTGTGTTCTGTAGCTCCTTTATAGGGCCCTCCTGGCCCCTGACTGGCCATTCTGGCAGCCCCTCTGATTGGTGGCTTCCTCACAACCACTCTAGGGTACCTGGAGGACTTCTCTAGTGCTCTTTTCCTTGGATGGGTGTGGCAAAACACGGTCTCCCACACTATTCTTGCCAGCAAGTTAAAAAAGTATGGGCTGGATGAATGGACCATAAGGTGGATAGAAAGTTGGCTAGATTGTCGGGCTCAACGGGTAGTGATCAATGGCTCCAAGTTGGCAGCCGGTATCAAGTGGAGTGCCCCAAGGGTCGGTCCTCAGGCCGGTTTTGTTCAATATCTTCATTAATGATCTAGAGGATGGTGTGGATTGCACCCTCAGCAAGTCTGCAGATGACACTAAACTGGGAGGAGTGGACAATACACTGGAGGGTAGGGATAGGATACAGAGGGCCCTAGACAAATTAGAGGATTGGGCCAAAAGAAATCTGATGAGGTTCAACAAGGACAAGTGCAGACTCCTGCACTTAGGACGGAAGAATCCCATGCACCGCTACAGACTAGGGACCAAATGGCTCGGCAGCAGTTCTGCAGAAAAGGACCTAGGGGTGACAGTGGACAAGAAGCTGGATATGAGTCAACAGTGTGCCCTTGTTGCCAAGAAGGCCAATGGCATTTTGGGCTGTATATGTAGGGGCATTGCCAGCAGATTGAGGGACATGATCGTTCCCCTCTATTCGACATTGGTGAGGCCTCATCTGGAGTACTGTGTCCAGTTTTGGGCCCCACACTACAAGAAGGATGTGGAAAAATTGGAAAGCATCCAGCGGAGGGCAACAAAAATGATTAGGGGACTGGAACACATGACTTATGAGGAGAGGCTGAGGGAACTGGGATTGTTTAGTCTACGGAAGAGAAGAATGAGGGGGGATTTGATAGCTGCTTTCAACTACCTGAAAGGGGGGTCCAAAGAGGAAGGCTCTAGACTGTTCTCGGTGGTAGCTGATGACAGAACAAGGAATAATGGTCTCAAGTTGCAGTGGGGGAGGTTTAGGTAGGATATTAGGAAAAACTTTTTCACTCGGAGGGTGGAGAAACACTGGAATGTGTTACCTAGGGAGGTGGTGGAATCTCCTTCCTTAGATATTTTTAAGGTCAGGCTTGACAAAGCCCTGGCTTGGATGATTTAGTTGGGGATTGGTCCTGCTTTGAGCAGGGGGTTGGACTAGATGACCTTCTGAGGTCCCTTCCAACCCTGATATTCTATGATTCTATGAAAATTCTGATGCCTCAAGCAGGGGGCCTTTGTGCCTAGTCCACCCCCATCACAGCTACTATAAAAGATACACTTTTGCTAACCCCAAAGCAAAATGACTCTGCTGTGTTACCTAGAGACATTAGATATCTTTGTGTAGCTCTGTTACAATATTATTATTATTTGTATTATTATTTACATAGGGCTTGATCCAAAGCCCACTGAAGTAAATAGAAAAATGCCCACTGAGTTCACTACTTTGGTTGAGGCCCATCTTGCCAACAGAGTTCTAGGTGTTTTACAGATAAACGCAAGGCTTCGGCTTCTGACCATAGAACTTACAATCTAAACATAAACAAAACAGTTAAATGGCAATATATTTCGGATATACCCATTCGCCTGATATGAAATGTGGAGGTCATCATAAGCAGTAAGGATCTGAAGGTGCCAATTGTATGTCTTGGGATATGGGTAGTCACTTGCTGAGCTGCTTCTTTGCTAAATTATGTATTAATGTGAGATGCTGGACCAAAACAACATTTTAGGGATATTATTGCTTTATCTAACAACTGCAAATTCAGCTGTAAAGACTATTCAGACTATGATCAAAGCAACCCTTTTTATGCTGAAGAGCAATCCAGTCATTATTCTTATATGATTACGAAGAATACAGGAGTGATCTATAAACCACTACATCAAGGTTCTCAATCTGCTGGTTCATGGAAAGCTGACTGGTCATATGTTGTGAGCTCCTCTTCCTTATTTTCAGCTGCTAAACTACATTTAATGTCAGTTTAAAAAAATACATTAAATACTTTTCTAACAATTCTCTCTCATGTAGAGAAT